AAAAAGCAATTGGAATTAAACTTGAGCAAACATTGAAAAAAAACAAGAAAATTTCAATTCTCACCCCAATGTGAGAATCTACTTTTGTCCCTGTGGATATTGCCACTGGAAATGGCTCAAAACCCAACCAGAATCCTCTATTGTTGAACAATGTACTCAATATTGTTACACAGATTTCAAATCAAGTATGAATGATGGTAGATGGTGGGCAAGCAACCACGACCATAGCTTCAACCCTTGTGGCTTCTGAACTGAATGAGGAACAACACTTTCTGACATTTACCTGTCAGCATTGAAGAGGTTCCCAGATGGGAACATTTTTGTGGGGGCTGGATTCCCCTATTGTTACTGTCAGACAGCTTCATGAAAATTTCCCAAGTAGCCATTGTGATATATGTAGTCAGTATTTTGCAATGCTTGTATCAATCTGAACAATGCTACATAATGTATTACATTTGATTTGCTTATCCAGGTGGGCAGATAGCTGAGCCAACCTGTATGTAGCTGCTAGCTAAGGATTTACTCAGTCTTTTGCACATATGTAGGATATAATTTATGACTCAGATGTTCAGTCAAATATGGGTTGATGACCCATTCTACTCTGAATCATGTTCCCAGCCTAGGGCTTTTTCCCACCAAGGAGCCTATTTAATTCTGGAAGTGCTTTGCCCTTTTGGTTGGGTATAGACAGCCTATGTGGTTGTCCATATCTGAAGGGTCAAGGTTGGATTTTACACAAGGCGGAAACCATACAGGTTGCTTACAAGGCCTGATGCATTGGGTTTTTCACATGGAATTGTCAAACAACCTGTATTTTGGTTTGTAAAAGGCCCAGTGCTGATGCTCTGAGTAATACAAAAAATGAGTGACAGAATGATCCCCCTGAGGCTAAAAGATCAAAACTTGCTAAAAGCAGGTGTGGCTAAACTTATCCAAGTCAAGAACAGCATTATATTATACAGAAAAATTTTTGAATCTTGATATCTGGTTGATAAGGACAAATAAAAGTTATTAGGAAAACAGTTCTTTTTGAAGTCGATAAAGAAGGGTTTCATGGGTAGTTTACATATGTAATGGTGGTATTAGTAATATTTAAGGTTGCCAAGAGGATTTTCTGGGATTTTTAAGGTTATATATGATGATGTAACATTACAGGAGCAAGGCGGTATTAGTAATAGCTGTGGAAATGAGGGAAAAGGTGTGAATTTTGTTGAAAATGGAGGTTTTCAGTGTATTACATATGTCAAATGATGTCAGAATTGAATGGTAGATAGCTCATTCAACGCAGAAGCTTTGATTACACAATTTACAAACTTTAAAACATTACTAATGTGAGTGTGTGAAGAAAGTTTCAAGAGGAATAAGAAATTGGAGTGAGCTTTGAATTTTACACTTACATGCATACATGTAACAACATTTACATCCAAAAATCTTAACTTCACAGCTCAATAACTCATCCATTACTCATCAGAAGTACATGATATGGCACCATCTATTAATCAGTATCACAAGCTCTATAATATGCACCTTAGTAATCAAACATTGGACATCATTTGAACAAACCAGTAACTTCAAAGATAGGTTTTCAGCCAGATTACAAGGAAAGAATCACCTGTAGTCATCATAAGAAGTTCTGTGTGACATCTAATTAAATCATTGATCACTCTTGGCTGTGTAAATTACATCATATATTAGTAACAAACTCATTAAATTGTGCCATCACATGGTTTTGGGGTTTTTTGGTCAAAATTGGTTGGTTTTTGAGGCTGTTGACCATTGTAAGAGTATAGTGCTTGGAGGCAAGACCTTGGCAATTTGAGATCAAGTAAATACAGGGTAATATTTGATAATTTGCCCCTGCCAGCTCAAATTTCAGATCCTTCAATCTGGTTGGATTCTAGTTTTTTTGTCAAAATCATTTGCTGCTCCTTCAACTCAAGCTCGGTTTACTGTCCCAAGTCAAGAATCTCTTGGGTTACAAGTTGTTCTTTTCCTCAGAACTCTGATTGGCTGGTTGATACCATAAGTTTTGAGGTGTAGCAATTGTTTTGGGCCTTCTTTTGAATTTGACAATGATTTGCCTCCACGCACTATATTGCATTCCTCTTGGAAAACTTTGTAGTTGTGCAAAGCGGAGGTAGCAATTGTTGAAATCAAGTGGCTGTAGTGGGCGGGCCCACCTATTCTCTAGTTTAAGTCTCAAGTACAGTACACAAATAGGATTTTTATTTGTTTTTTTCCAAACCTCAATAACTCAGTCAATTTATATGAGAAAGGTTAGAGCATCCACTATTGTTGCAGCAAAAGTTTTGATAAATTTTTCACAGTACTGATTTGAGATGGTAAATTAGGCACAGACACATGGAAATCCACTTTTGTCTCAGTAAATACCATTCTGTTCAATATCTAGTGTACAGAAAAGACTCTGTCCCACTATTGTGTGTTCAGGTATGTTGTGTAAAAAATCTTCAAATTGCAAATCATCAAGTTGAATTTTTCTTGTTTCTAAACACTCAATCCAAAAACAAATTTGAAAAAAAAATGAAAACAAATGATTTGACACCAGGGGGACTGAATACAACTGGGAAACAGTACCAAAATGTGATAGGTACAAAGGAAAAGAGTATGTTCAATACTTATGTTGAGACTTGGCATGAGAAGTTAGGTGTATGATGATCAAGAAGCAAATAGGAGAGGTATAGTCAAAACTTTGATTTTTGAGAGTGGTGGTGAGATGTTCAACTTGGTAAAGTCCAGTAGCTTTGTGGATATGGTATTACATATTCTGTTGGTAACTGACCCATAAAATTGTGATAGCAGACAACTATCCTTTTGACAACAAATTGAAATTATCTTGAAAACATTTTGAAGTCATGGGGTGCATTGTCCTGCCAGTGACCACTTGTTGAGTACTGTGTCTAGACCCCAACACCGTGCAATGCTTCATAACCGTCATTTGGAGGAGAATGGCAGGAGAATACTCAAGGAATTTAGAGAGGAAGTACTTGACCTCACAAGGAATTTTTGCACTCTTTACACCACTGTGGGCAAAAAAGAAATTCTGAGTCAGGAGCCTCTCACCTTTCTCCTCACTTTGTGCTCTTTGTGGTCTCACATACAACTCTTGTGTACATGTTTGCAGTCCCTGTGGCCTGAGATTTCCGCTGGAACTTGAAGGCTTCCATTACTATCTCTTTCAGGTCACATCTCAATATACACTTTTTGCTCACATTGTTATAAAACACATTTTATTCTTGATTTTTGCTCAGGAATGGTTCAAAGTGTGTTTTTTTGGTATACAACCAATATTGATATACAGTCAACTCTGAAATAACCCATACCACTTGTAACACATACTCTGGCCTAACCCATGTTTTTTTTGGTTCATAATTTTCACTTTTCAGCCCAGAAGACCATTGTGATAACACATACTCTATGAAAACCCATACCTTTTGGGTTCCATAAAAAGGTATGGGTTGTTTCAGAGACAACTGTAAGCAAGCTCCATATATGCATATTGTGATTTAAGCAAGGGTTTCCATGTAATTTTTTTTGTTGTATGTGAGTGCCTAACTAAAATCACATTGCTTGAAGCATAATGATTAAACCATGAGATTGGTGATAATCTTCACTATATCTACCCTTATACCTCACAGTCAGCATATTTGCCTCAGAGCCCAAAATCCAAGGATTCCTCAGATTCTGACTCCGAGTTAACCCCCATCTGAGGATCCAATCCGAGGCAACGGCCAGGGCCAACATTTGCCTCGGAATTAGCCCTCGGGTGCCCTTTTCCTCGGGGGCGCCATCCGAGGACTCCTCAGACGTTTGTCTCCGAGCCAAATATGCCGGCAGTGACTGAATATTTTCTCATGTACACAAGCATAATTCTCACAAGAGAAGGAGATTATGCTGTTATGGTGTTGATAAGTCCAACTGCTGATCAGTACCATTTTGGCTTGTTTGGGCCAGATTGAACTTGGGAGTCTTACAAAAGTAATCAATAATCTTTAAATTTTCAAAATGTAAAAGCAACCACACTTGTTCATGGTATATAACTTTAGGATCTGTGGTACAGGCCATTTCAATAAGACAATCAAATGATTTTCCAACAACTATTTATATGATGGCAACACTATTCTTGTCTTTGCACTGTAGTACTAGAATTGACAAAAACAAAAAAGAATACAAACAAATCCAAGAGATTGAAGATTTTGGTATGGTTGTGTTTTGGTTGATCAAGTTCAATTCAAGTTAACAAAAATCTGACATAGCAAAGAGATTGTATTGTTTTGGTATTTCTAATTTAATTCTGATTGGTTTGAATATATAATTGATTGATTGACTTATAACAATTCAAAAACACCAACAAGTTGATTAATCAACCTACATATTTACAATCAAAAAACAAAAAACTGAAAATAAAAATGACATTGAATGTTCTTGTTCCTGCTCATATGCTTGTATAGTTTATATTTCATCCAGATTGATTAGCAGGGGTTGATTGTTTAATTTGGTGTTGAGGACTACTTGAGTTGAGTTGAGTTGAGTTTTGTTTTTTCAAAGTTACTGAGGACAATTGAGAATTCAAAAGACAGAGTAAACTAAAAAAAATATTACTTTTTGTAGTGTTTTAATTCAACTTTTCATTGATTTTTGAAATCTTTACCCTTAAAACATATATAATCTCATCTCTCTATACACTTCTTTCCAAGTTGTTTTTTTTCTTTCTGAAAATCAAAATCAAATCTGCTCATGAAGAAAAAAAAAAGATAAAAAGATAAAAAAATAAAACAAATATCTTTTTTTTGTTTGGAAAAAAAATAAACAAAATATTTCTTTTGATCAAACTTGCCACGAAAAAAAACAAAAAAAAACAAAAAAAAGAACAAAAAAACAAACAAACAACAACACATAAAATTGATGATAATAAGCCATAAATAGTTTTTGGAATTTTCTTTTCTTCATTTCTCTTCTCTTCACCTTCAAAATGGATCATCTCATCCATCTTGATTATCTTGATTACCTTGATTATTATTAATACTATTAGTCCCACTATTATTGTTTGTTCCGTTTACAAGATTATTACCAAAAATCGATCTAGTTCCAACACTCCAAATCGCTCCTACAAGTTCTTTGGCCGTTTCTACTGCTTTTCCAATCACACCTCTTTCACCTTCTTCTTGTTCTTCATAATAATTTCCAAATCCAAATTCATCTCCCGATAATCTACGCGTATTTTTTTGTGCTACAAGTGTTTCATCAGCCCATTTCAATGATCCCAATGAGCTTGCACTTCCATTCTTTTTCATCATTAGAGCTGATAAGATCCCATTCGGTGTCTCAACTGATCCCATTAAATCTTTATCATCTTCTTGATCCGCTTCAAATCCAGTAGCTAACTGAGCACTAGCTGGCTTGGGTGCACTGATCACGCAGGGCATTGGAGGCGAAGTCGACTTTTTCCTCAGACTTCCAGCTCTAACAGGAGAGGGATTGGCTCCAGGACTCTTTGTATCATCTGATCCGTTCATCACCAATTTTCCTTTTCCCGAGCTCAAGTCTTCTTGTTCATCTTCTTCTCCAATCGTCACATCTATCAATCTAGATTTTCCTCGACTCAAATTGTCGCCACTTGCGCCTGATCGAGATAAGGAGCTTGAAGAACCCGAAGATCTGGATAATCGGGGTTGGCTCGGACCTCCGGCTCCTACTACACCTATAAGTGACCCGTGCGGACTGACATTGGCGGGAGGACTTTGAGAGGAGGGACTGTTAGATGAATGTCGATAATGATCTGTGGTACTCCGCTCGAAACTTGATGCGGAGGAGCCTCTGGACGAAGATCTACCTCTGGCCATGCGATCAGGGCGCTCGTTGCTCCCGGATATCAAGTTTGGAAGTGATGATGCTGAAGAAGACGTAGGAAGTGGTAGGTTTGTAGACTTATCGGTATGAGGTGGGGTGGTGGAAGATACTGATGAAGCACCATAGGGATGAGAGAGAGGGCTTGAGGTGAGGGAGGAAGACGATGAAGATGCCGAAGAAACCTTTTGGCTTGGTGACTTGAGTTGAGGAACGAGGATTGGACCTTGATGATTACCAAGTCTAGTTTGACTATTCGAACCAGGTGAGCTGACGAGGCCTTTAGTGTTTGATTTTCCAGTCGAGTTGGGCTCTGAATGATGCGAAGGATTGAAATGGAGTGACACGGTTTCGCGTACATTCAATCAGCAAGCTCGCGCTTTGCCGGGCTCGACTTCGAGGGATTCAGATCCCAACTCACCTTCACTTGGGGTACCAGTATCGAAACCATTTTGCGAAGGTCCAGCGAGAGGATGAGATGACAACCGTGGCTGATCATAATCACCCCCAACTCCAAGATCAGGTCCGGAAAAGTAATCAAAACCCATGGCAGTGAATTCCTCCGTGTCATCATCGTCATCAGTTGTCCCGGTCCACTTTGTAGTAGGCACAGTAGATGTATAGTGAGACGAAGTGGATGGGGTGTCATCGCGGGCTGGGGTGGGTATGGGATAAGTGGTTCCGCCAGTCGAAGTGACGGGTCCGTACGTACGTGAGTAGTAACTCGGAGTCGACTGATCAATAACTGATGTTGCAGGATTCTGAAGAGGTTCGGCAGTAGGAGGAATGTCATGGAGACCAGAGCCAGCAGGGGAGGAGGTGACAGTGTACATCGGATAACTTGGACCACCTGATGAGCCTTGAGCCCCGGACCAGATTGGGTCACGGTCATAGACTACCACTGGACTCGGTGCAGGCAGAACCTCACTGCTTTTGAGTGTGGTTGGCGCCATCCGTGCGATAGTATGAGGCTCTGAAAGACTTGGGCTCGGCGTGATCATCGATGACGAACCAACCATCATCGGATGGTCCAGAGTATGAGGCAGGTGACTCGAATATGACGGATACCGATTGGCTGTTACGTTGATGCCAGGGTGCCGAGATGCAGAAGAGCGGAATGTCAAGACATCATCCTCCTCATCGTCGTCATCATCATCTTCCATGATCCCTGGCGAGGCACGCATCCCAGCTTTAGATCGTAGAAGGGCCTTGGATGCATACAACCCTCGTTCTTCCTCACTATCGACTGCAATACACTGTTCAACACGATGTGAAAAGCTAATGTGCTTCTTGGGTTTGGCCGAGTCTTCTGTACCACTACCGCTACTATTGTTCCCACTGTTTCGAAATGCGGTTTTGCGCTTGACTGGCTGACCCACAGTAAGTGCATGACCAGGTACGAAGTGATTGGATTCGCTGTCGTCATCGCCACTGGTAGAGCTGTCGTACCCTACCGTTAAGGTAGATGGCGAACCTTTACCAACGGGGAGATGTTGCCTCAAGTTTACAAGCGTAGAGTCGGATGCGGGATGAGCAATCGAAACCCTTGGGCGTTTGTGGTGACCAGAATCGCTGCCATCTTGCGTGCCATCGTGATCACTTCCACCATCTGATCCAGATTCGCCACTCGCTCCAGCCGGATGAGCTGTGACACCCAAGATTTCAGACAAGCTTCGGTGTTTGAGAATAGGCTTTCCTGGTACTTTTGTTGAACGAACCGAAACAGCAGAACCGCTGCGAGAGGGAAGAGCTGAACCAGAGAGAGAGTTGGCTGACGGTGCTTGACCATCGAGGTTAAACCGATCTTCAAGAGATGACATTTTAGCAGGTGGCACTGGATCGACAGCCGTATGCAAAGGACCATAAAGCCAAGTTACATCGCTGTCCTTGAGCCTGTATGGAAGAGTGCATTGTGATGTAGGTAAGATGATGCCCATATCAGTTTCAAAAATACTATCTCAAGTTGTAAAGGTAAGAATGAAGCAGAGAAAGTCGACAAACCAGTTCAAGGTCTCAGGACTGATAGTTTTCAGATTACTACGTTGTTTGGCCCAAGTGCGCCAACTCGCATTCTCGAGGCGGACTCCATTGGCCATCTCATGTTTATGTCGAGTCATAGCTTTCCAACTCGTCCAAACATCTTTTTCATCCCAATTGTGGCTCAGGTAATCCACACAGATCGAGGGAAGACGAGTCTGAACATCGTTATCGTCCGGCATGGGTGCACGTTCGTAGGGAAGAAGAGCACCTGCGAATGGTGGCATTGAGACATTATAAGGGTATTGAGGGACAACAGTCGAAGCGGAAGAGTGAGAGGTTGATGAGTTATTATTGTTGGAATGGACAACATTAGAAGATTGATGTGAGGAGGCCGAAGGGAGCATTGTCGAAGTGACTGGAACTGGATTCCGTGGGGTGGAATTGGATGAATGTGACTGATTAGGGGAGGAGATGTTGATGGAAGGAGTCGGCAAAGGACCGGTGACAACAGCGGTAGCCATGGAGAACCAGCTTGAGGGTGTTCGATCGATTAGTTGTTCGATAGTTTGAAGGTGGCAAAAGATGAGTAGTTTGAAGCTGAGATGAGGCTGAAAAATGGAGTGGTTTCTAAGATCAATCAAAGAGAAAGAGAAAACCGTATCGGTTGTCAGCACTGAGAAGTAGCGATCGAGAGAAGAAAGTGAAGTAGTATCAGCATATGTGGCAATCTAAAGGGTTAAGTTAAGTTGAGTTGAAGTACAATAAAGTAAGTAATAATCTATGTAAATGAATCGATCGATTTCTTGGTTACCTGATTGAGCTATCAAGAGATCTTCATTCGAAAAAGAGGGTGACAGCTTAAAACAGATAGGTAGCTACTCAATCACAGTGATGTAGTGAAAGAATGCTTAAAATGAAATTGATTGATTAATTTTAAAAGTGGTGGAGATTGAGTGAAAGGGGTTTTAAGTATTTTGGTTCAACTTGTAGCTCACTTTCAAGTTCAAGTGAAGGAATAAAGAATTCAAATCTTCAACCGAAACGGTGACCTGATCAATCAACTTACAAATTCAAGAATCAAAACCCACCAATCAACCAATCCAACCTGATTTTTTCGCTTGTATATGTACTTTTCAATGGAAACAATTCCGGATCCGTACACTCTGTTCCAGAGTATATCTTAAATCTCAATTCGTCTACAATAAAATTCAATTCTTGAAATCTGTTTTGTTGAGTCCGAATAAATCGGAATCGCGGAATTGAATGAGAATGTGAAAGATATAAAAGGATGGTAGACTTATAGGATCCGATCAAAGATTCAGCCGCGGCCAGATGGTCGAAAGTTGAATCAAAACCCAAAAACAGAAGAATGTGTATCAGATCAAGTTTTACGGATGATAATTGATATCGGTCGCAGCAATCAACCCGAAAAGTAACAAAGGAGTCATCTGTGTTTTCATGAGATCTCAGGAACCAAAAAAAAAATCCAAGCTCAACTCACCTGAGGCTATGATAATGCTATGCTGTATATGTATACTCCTTCTTTCTTTCCTTCGCTTACAGATCGGACACAGAAGAATATGTAGAACAAGCAAGTTCGCTTCTCCGAAATCCAGAAACAGAGAGCAAGCTGTGAAGTTACGAATGTGTGAAGTCAATCGGTCGATGGACGGACAATGTTGATGATCGAAAGTAAAGAAGTTGAACAATGACTCGTTGTGTTTGGTAAAGGAAAAAAAAATAGACTTAAAAGTGCGGGGCGAAGAAAAAGATGCGGAGTAGAAATTGGGTTGTCGCTTTTGAACCTTTTTGAACCCACTTCCCATGCCCTCCCCACAAAAAAAAACAGACTAAGTTTTAAGAGAACTCCACGGGGTAATCAAGTGAACAACAAATATAAATGTAGTTCAACTCATGTTATCACCTCATCAGACCTCATGACCACCAACTGTGCTCACGAGTTGCCAACCGAGAAGATGTAAAAGTAAGGCGGTGAAGTGAAACTTCCGAGCGATACTATACCTCTTGGCTGCTACAACACCTTGTCAACTCACACACCTCATCAACATTGCTATACTTTTTGAAAAACCAATCTTGGCATACATAAGTCGATCACGGGACTTCTGTTTCGATCCTTCTTCAACTCAACATCCTCCACCTTCAAAGGGGGTCAAATCACCCCCTAAACTATTTGAGTTCTCTATCACTCAATTTATGATTCCCTTTGGGCGGAACTCTCGTTTTGTGCCGGCTTTTGTCCCGGCCTCATGGGTCGTGTAACTGATGTGATGTGAGTCAAAGTTTGGTACATATGATCTTCTTTTAGCATTTAGAGATTTATATGAACATGCAGTTTCTTAAGTGATTTCTCATTCAATTTATGGGTCAAAGTCCACTACTCGCATCTAAGGATTCGAAGGAATCGGTGATATCGCCAGCCGTATCGCTGGGTAAACCGTAACGTTACCCCAGCTTCGAATGCAAATGGGAAATTGAGCTTCAAAGGGCTTCCTTCTCAATCGATCAAAAGATGCTTATAGTTACAGTTAGACGATGTCAGCTTTATGAGACTAATTTGTACATGACTCGTGATCCATGACGATTTGATGGAAAGTGGTGGCCGATGACTGGGGATCTCTGGGGATGGAGGCGAGAGCTTGCTGTTTACCTCCCTACTGGCCCATACCCCCCTTTTTTTCGATACATTCACATTATGACCCCTCTTTTTCAGAACAAAGAAATGCAGCCCTAGCGGCTAGCCAGCCATTCTAGAATGGGCAAAATCTGACCGATCTGCACCTCAAAAAAGCTGCACACTTGTTAACTTGTGCATATCAATCTGAAACGAAGAGAAAAGAAAAGGGAAACTAAAAATCATTGTTCAACACACTTCTGTGATCCATGAGAATCAGGTGACTCCTTGAAGCTCCTCGACTTGGCCCAAAAATTGCACACATGAGCTAGCATGAGCTTGTTGGAGTATATTCATATCTACATGCGTAATACTAACAACTCTAAGGTTATGTTTCTGTTTTAATTGCTTAATTACTTATGTCATGAATATATCCATTTTGTACTCACGTGATTTAACCTAACCAAAGATTGTATCAGTGTTCTCATATATCTTGTTTCCTGTTTCGAAAGCTTTTCTTATTCATTCAAGCTTTCTTCTTTTACAAACTATAAACAATACCTCATCCCTAACATCTTTCAGCGTGCTTTCAAGATATCCTAGACTGAGTTTATTTGTTTCTGTTTGTTTCTGATCAGGTATGATAGAACACAATCTTGTTTTCATTCTTTGCTTTCATTTATTACTATTATTATGAAAGCAATTCATTCAAGCTTTCTTCTTTTACAAACTATAAACAATACCTCATCCCTAACATCTTTCAGCGTGCTTTCAAGATATCCTAGACTGAGTTTATTTGTTTCTGTTTGTTTCTGATCAGGATTCTCTGAATCCTTTTAGGTTATGAGCCCAGCGCTTAAAGCTACGATCTAGATCCGACCGAAGGTAGATTAGAGTTCTGAACACGGTCTGGTAGCACAGAATCCGTCAATTCAAACTCAAAATACCCACCCACCTCGAAATCCCCTTTTCGACCTTCAATAAGATTCGAACTATATCAATTCTTTCAAATTCTTGAACCTTCGCTGAAATTCGAACAACAATCTTATTGACTGTACAACTCAATTACTCCGCAATCCCAAGAATCCAATCTGGAACCTTCGGATTCAACTGAGTCTAGCGTCTCGCAACCTACGTCAAACCCACCCTCGGGTACCGAAACCAAACTCACTCAGTCGATCATGACTACAGTTGCGAGCGCCACCCATACATCTCACTCTTCTCATCTACTTGGATGTATTCCCAAACTGGGAGACACAAACAAAGTCGACTGGACGATAGGCATCAAAACCTACCTACGCAGTCGCAAACTCTGGAAATATGTCGAACGTGACATTAAGCTTTCTGGATCTGACCTCAAAGATCCGGACAAAGTTGAAACCCTTGAAGCTGAGCGTGCCGGTGTGCTTGAAGTCATACGTGCAACGGTATTGCCCACTCGATTGCCTCTCATCTGTGGAATCGAGGATCCTAAACGAGCGTATGAAGTACTGCTTGAACAGGTCTCTCAAGATGATGGCCTTGAGATTGCTACTCTCATTGCCAAGGTTGCGAACACCCGGTACACTGGAAACGAATCTGTCTCGTCCTTCCTCGACGGAATCAATGATCTTCACACTAGACTTGCTGAAGCTACCTCGAGTGACAATGATCTGAAGATCAGTGACAAACTATTAGCTGTCTTCCTTCTCCTAAGTTTTCCGGGTGATCAATTTGGAACCATTCGCGACCAGCTATTCGGTGATATGAAGAACTTATCGACTTCAAAAGTTATGTCGCGTCTTCGAACAAAATCGGCCTTATCAACGGTTGATGAAGTTACAATTGCGATGAATGCTATGGCCAAACCTTTCCATGCTCCCAACAAGCCTAACTCGGCCCAACCGAATCCTTACCGAACCAATAAGTCGCCCAATGCTCCATGCATACTCAGAGAGCATTGGCAATTCAATCACACGAACGGATCGTGTTCCAAACAAATTCAGCGCCGAATGGGCAATGCAGGTAATCAAATCATTCGCCCGAGGAACAATGCTGCTACCAATGGCAATGTATCGGATGCGGAAAAAATCAAGCGATACAATCAACTTACTGCTGCGGGTGTTTTCGGCTATAACACTACCGTCCCCGATTCTGCTCCCAATCCTCCTGCTGTTTCGACGCCCACCGCTGACGACAATGGTCCGACATGCCAGTTTGCCACGTCCTACAACGTAGTGGCAATCGACGCCGATCCTAACGAAGCCTCCGTCAATCTATCTCAGACTTACCCTCAAGCTTCGGAGGTGCACCGACCTACATTAGCTGATACCGCATGTAATCGTCACATGTTTGGCGATGCAATGTTGTTGGACGATCTTCATGAGGTTGCACCTGTTTGGATCAATGTCGCCAACGCCAATCAATCGTCTCGAATAATGGCCAACCGCATGGGAATAGCCCGACTCAGCGCTATCGACAACAAGGGCCTATCCGTGGTCGTTGATATCCCTAACGTTCTATACTCCCCTGACCTCCCTGCCAACTTAATCTCCATCACCTCATTATACGAGGCTGGATACAAAATCGTCGATCCTTACTACGGTACAAACGTATCAGACGTGAATCTATACCTGTCTAAAGACGATCACATCATTCCTGCGTTTAAGGATGATGGACCTGGCGGTTTCTGGCGGTTTTACCATCACTCCGAGCCACGTGCGTACTCCACAGTATCTTCCCCATCTCCTGATCCTAACCTCTGGCACCTACGATTCGGCCATCTCAATCACAGGAGCACCCGGGATATCATGGAAGATGTCGTTCGATTTAATCCAAATATACCATCGAACTGTGAGGCCTGCACCTTGGGGAAACAGGCGCGCAGCAGCCATTCTGGCAAGCTACCAC